CCCAGGCAGCAATGTCTTGACACAATTCAGCAGCCCAGATGGGTTTCCCTCTGCACTGCCAATTGGTCTTTTTCAGTTGGCCTAGCCACCCTCACAGAGCATTTGCCACCATCCACAAGTCAGTGTAGAGGTAGAGTGCTGGCTATTTCTCTCATTCAGCAATATCTAAAGCCACCTGGACAGCTTTCAGCTCTGCAACATGATTTGATCCACCTTGTCCCTCAATAGCTTCTGCAACTCGCTGTGTAGGACTCCATATGGCAGCTTTCCATTTTCAATGTATCCCTATGACACAGCAGGAACTCTCAGTGAAGAGAGCATATCACTCTTAATTTTCTGGTAGCTGATTAAATGGTTGGGCCTCCTCAACACGTGTGACCTGCTCCTCTTCTTTGGATGATAATCCAAAATTTTCACCTTTGGGTCAGTTTGTGATGATTTCCAAGAACCCTGGGCGATTGGGATTTCCTTTTCAAGCTTGCTGTTTGATCAGCGTGATCTATTCACTCCACATGGCATCAGTGGCATGATGTGTGGAAGGGACTTTCCCTTTGAACATCCACCCCAGCACTGGCAGTCGGAGTGCCAGGAGGAGCTGTGCTTCAGTGCCAATCACTTCAGAAGCAGCTCAAACCCCTTCATAAGCTGCCAGGATCTCTTTTTCAGTTTGGGTGTAGCAGGATCCTTTGTATCCCTGACTCCAGAACCCCAGAGGTCAACCTCAAGTCTCCCTGGGTACTTTTTGCCAGAGACTCCAGGAAGGACCATTGTTCCTGGCTGCAGTATAGAGCACATTTTTTACATCTTGTCCTGTCCTGACTGGCCCAAGGGTTACTACACGAACAATCTCCTGTTTAATTTGTTCAAAAGCTTGTTGTTGTTCAGGACTGCACTTGAAATCATTCTTCCAGGTCACATGATAGACAGGGCTTACAATTGGACTGTAATCTGGAATATGCATTCTCCAAAAACACACAGCACCTCAGAAAGCCTGTGTCTCCTTCTTGCTAGTTGGTGGGGACATAGCTGCTATTTGGCTGACCACATCCATTGGAATCTGACAATGTCCATCTTGCTATTTTACTCCTAAAAACTGAATTTCCTGGGCAGGTCCCTTGACCTTACTTTGTTTTATCGCAAAACTGGCCATCAGAAGGATCTGGATTATCTTCTCCCCTTTCTCAAAAACATCCTCTGCTGCGTTGCCCCATATGATGATGTCATAAATGTAATGCAAGTGTTCTGGAGTCTCACCCTGTTCCAGTGCAGTCTGGATGAGTCCATGATAAATAGTGGGGCTGTGTTTCCACCCCTGAGGCAGCTGGTTCCAGGTGTACTGGATGCCCCTCCAGGGGAAAGAAGACTGTGGCCTGCACTCTGATGCTAAGGTAATGGAGAAAAATGCATTAGAAATGTCGATGGTGGCACCACTTTCTTGCCTCGGACTCCAGTTCATACTGAAGTTCCAGCATGTATGCCACAGCAGAACTCAGTGGTTTAATTGAATCTTTCGAATCTGTCCACAGTATTGGACAGTATTTCCACAGACAAGGTGCAGGTTGGTAGGGAGGAAAAAAGATGATCTTCATATTGCCCAACTCGGGTAGTCACCTGAAGCACTGTTTGTTCTCCTTCTTTCATTGACATAGCTGCCAATGAGCGGGCGTAAGACAATAACATGCTCCGTACAAACTTCCACCACAAGCGGCATTTATCCTTGAACAATTTCCTGTGGTGGTTGTTCTTCGTCTCAACTCACGTACCCATGCTGCTAGGGCAGAGGTGGGTTTTCCATGCCACTTCCTCGTGTCCTCTCTGCGGTCATCAGGTAAAACTCCAGGTTACCTCATGGTGTGTACCCTCTCTCTCGAGCAGGGAGGTGCTTGCTTCTAATAGCAGAGACTCTGTTCTGTACTAACAGGCCATGGGACACTTTTTTAAATTGCTGGCAGTCCTTGGACAGTTTTTCCATGGATGAGACACAGGTCTGCAGCGGGGAAGAGATACTTTCCTCATATAGTCTGAGTTTTGTAAAGCAAATTATCCACTCTTAGTTCTCTTTTCCACGACATCACTGCCAATGACAATGGCGTGCTCCGTACAAACTTCCACCACAAGGCTTGTGTACACTGGACCTCCTCTGGATCTACAGGGGACTGCTTGTTATTTGAATCCCTATGGATTACCTCCAGCACAGCTAATTCTCTCAGGTACTGGATACCTTGCTCCATGTCATTCCACTTTTCTCCATGCACTAAAAGATCAGCCTTGAAAAGATACTTTTCCTTCACGCTTGACAGGAGTCACCTCCAGAGGCTGAGAGTTTCTGTTCTCTTCCCAATCCCCTTGTCAATGCCTGCATCCCAGGACAGCAATCTCAGTTGCTTGGCTTCACAACCATCTAGTTTCATATCGTGGGCCACGAAATGCCAGCATCGGAGCAGCCAGGTCACCAGGGGCTCACCCGACTGGCAGTTGAAATCTTTTTGCATATCTTGCAGCTCACCAAGGGATAGGGATCGGGTGATTATCTCTGGCCCTGCCTCTTCCTCCTGTTCTGAAGACCCTACTTTCTCTTCATCCCTCACTAAGCAAACTGATTTGGTCTCGGATTTCTTCTTCTGTATAGGGGCGACTGCTATAGGCACAGGTTGTTCCTCTGGTTCAGCTGCAGTTTGAGTGGCCTGGTGCCTGTTGGTCTGCTTTCCTCCTCCTCCCCCTGAGGGTGCTGTCTAGTGACGAGCACTGTCTGATAAATAGTAACCAGGGCCCAGCACATTGCATAACTTTGTGCCTCTCTGGAACTGCCACAGCATTTTTTTTTTCAAATATTCTGCCACGTTACCAGGGTCCTGTAGTTATTTGGGGGTGAACTTCTAAACCACTAGAGCAGAAAATTTCCTTCAAAAGCTGGCCCATTTTCTCCTACCTTCCATGTCACTCCTGACTATCCACTCCTCAGGGCAGACCTCTGAATGACCTTCCCAGAAATCTCTTTTGTAACTCTAAACGTGGTGTAGACCGCACTGAGGAGAGACCTGGCAGACCAAGCAACAAGAGCATGCTTTCCTTCACATCCAATGGGAATTCAAGATTCTCAAAAGCTGTTGTAACAGGCCGGAACGAGGAAAAGGGGGTGAAAAGCTGGGGAAAATCATCTCCCCTTGTTCCCCCCACAGACTGGGTACGATTATTAATGAATTCCCAGAGGTAGCACCCAAGGTAAGAGTAGGAGAGCAACACTGAATACACATCCCAAATGATCATTATTGTCCTTAATGGTATCATGTCATAAACTGATATCACACTGTACAGCAACAAAGCAATTGTGATTCCTCTCCCTGCTCTGAAAAAGAGCACCATGAGCAGCACATACAGGAATACATACCAGGTTAGGTGCCACACCCACATGAACAGATCAAGCAATATCATAACCAGTGGCTCTGGACCTAATACAGCAAATGCTTAGATCAAATTTCTTTCCAACCCACTCTGGGCAGATCTGTTGTTATCTCAACCCTTTGTGTCCCACATTGGGCGTCAATTAAGGTTGTCATGGTTTAGGAATGGTATTCCCCAATTTAGTACTGCCACTAAAAAGACCACGAACCACTCCCCTTCCCCCTTGAATGGGAGGCACAAAAGGCAAAGATCACGGGTTGAGATAAGAATAATTTACTGGAAACAGCAATGAAACAAGAAAACAAAAAGTAACAGCAACAATATTAATAACAAAAGGTATAAGACAAGGAAATGATTTACACATAAATTAAAGCAGTACTGGACCAGTCCACCCACCACACTTTCTCCCAGTCGAAAGAATGCCCTTCTTCCAGGAAGCTAGAGACAATCACTTTCCCCACCCCTGGCAGTGACGTGTAGGGGTATTAAATAACATTAGGGTCTTGGCCAAGTTCATACATGCTGATCTGGGACAAAACCAGAGAAATTTGGTACACTAAGCCAAAGTTGTTTTCAGATTACTTTTTTTTTTTAAAAAATGTTATCATTAATCATGATCCTCCATCAGCCAAAAGACTACTGTCAATATTGAACCTAATAATTCACTTTATGCACATATGATTCCACTGTATGTATGAGACAGTAATTTCCTTCACTTTATAAGGCCTAGAAATTATCAGGCTTAGTTCACGTAAAAAATGTGTATTCTCTGTAGGAATACATTTGTCAGCAAAGCATGAGAACTTTTTTATTTTTAAAATATATCTTAAAATGATGTAACATAAGATTGCATCTATAATTCTCTAGGAAATGTTTGACATACTTCTTCACATAGGACTGTGAAATATTTGATACTGGAACACAGACTATAGATAGATTAAACTAAATCTGAATAGAATTGTTTAAAAGGTAAGAAAAAAAAGGAATGAATACCTTATTAGAAGTAGGTCTGGATAACACAGATTAAACAGATGTCTCCCTATATATCACCTTCTAAACTGTATTCCTATTCTTCTCACCTTCTGTACCAGTTCTATCCTATCTGTCAACTTATTGCACTGTCCTGCATCTAGGTCTTCCCCACAACTTGTTTTGAAAGAATATATCATAGCATGCATAAAGACATAATTTCATGCTAAGGCCTTTTTTGTTTTCTAATGTCTCTCAATCCTGTCTTAAAACTTATAAAAATAGATATATTTTTATTGACCCAAAGAATTCAAATTCATAATGATAGGAAAGATTCTTATAGGAGCACTTTCTCCTAGTAAAGATAATTCTTTTCATATTCCTTTTAAAATACCCTATTCCAGTTATTATTAAAAAGAAATATCTTTTGTTAATTGCTAAAAAGGAATATTTCTATAATGTAAGGAGACAAGAAAAAGAAGATAAATTCAGATTGTGCCCTGTTTTGTTACTTCAGAGACTAAATATTAAAAATGGGAAATGAGATGTAATGCAGTAGAAAACTAAAGAAAAAAATGAAACTACAAACTAGGACATTATAAATTGCATTCAACACAGATTTTATTTACCTTAAGCCATTTATCAACACACTTGGCATGAAACTCGTGGTTACAGGGTAAGACTCTAAGTAGCTGCCTTGCTTCGAAGTCACACATACACACTACACACCTAAAAAAAAGACAGCAAATATCTATAAACTTTCCCATTCAATAGCAACAGACAGCTTGTTAGGTGTGTCTGCAAAAGTGGTTTTTAAAACCACTCAAGTGTCTACAGTGATCAAATTTTTGTGGGTATAGATTTCCAGTGGACTAATGTAAAATGAGAATTTCTTTTGTTTTGTTTACCATGTTTTCAAATCCCAAAGCAGACAAGGCAGTTCACTGGTCCAAGCAGTAAATAGACTGTATTACCATAATTCAAAGTACTGGAGTTCATGCCTGCTGTTATAAACAGGCAGTGCAAACCCTATAGCATATTTCAGTTTTAACTTTATTTTAGCTACATTAAAATAAAAAAATCCCACAAAACTTGCTTTGAGTATTTCTGAAAGTCATAGCTGATTAAAGATCACACACATTTTTACTATGAGAAATTTCTCCTTAAATGAAATCTATATTCTGTTGTACATGTTTTATAAACACATTTCTTCCCCAAAGACATCATCAACTTAAGTTCTCTGGTATTTTTATTTTTCTTATTCCCTACTATGTTAAAAACATCATTGAAAATTTCTCTAAGTGGAACATTAGAGAAAAAAACCTCTTCAGTTCAATTTCAAACATTTGACAGCGCTGTATATCACTTTTGCTGCCTCCCGCCTATATCTCATTTCTCTGTTATATAGATTTTTCAAACAGAATTTTTCTCAAAAATAAGTAAATATAACTTTAAACCTCAAAGTCTGTCAAAAGCTCTTTCAGGAGCACTTAAAACATCAGTAATTGGAAATATTTCAATATAGGCTGAATTCCAAGCCATCTGGTATGCCAAACAAAAATTTGTAAAACTTTTTAAAAATACTAAATAACTAAATTTGGACATATAACTGAAGTGAGAATATGCAGAATTTTAAAGTCAAGATAAATTATATCTGATTTGAAAAATGGTTTAAGAAAATATATTTTTTTTTATTTGAGTGCTTTTAGAGCACTTGTGTTAGAGTATTTGCTTAGTTTAGGCTGCAGTCTGTAGGCATGGAAATAGTTATGTAAAGTATGTAATTTTGAGATAGATGTACTTACAATGTCTGCTCTGATTGATGATTGCTTGGACTGAACCTGTAAGATGGAAGTTGTTCAATGTCTGTCTTTGTCAGTCCTCGAGGTTTGGCTTCTCCTAGACGTTCTGCCAAATTCAACAGTGCCTATGAAACAAGCAATTTGGACTTTATAACATTCATTTCCACAAACAAGCTCCAGCTCTACTAGAAGTGATTTCTTCTGCCATGTCACAGATGGCACAACCCACCTCATCACAGAATATTCTGAGTTGGAAAGGACTCACAAGGATCATCAAGTCCAACTCTTAAGTGAATGGTCCATATGGGGATCAAACCCACAACCTTGATGTTATTAGCACCCTGCTCTAACCAACTGAGCTAATCAAGACAGGTTTTATCTTGCTTCTCTCTCTACAACTGCAAGTACTATGGAAAGATGTCTTTCAAAGTTTGATCATTGATGAATCCTTCTGAACTGCATAAGATAGTATCTTCAGGATTTCCAAATATCCATGATCTAACTATTAATCACTCCTGTAGCTGTATTCACAGTTTGATCGTTTTTTTTTTTTTTTTAAATTAATCTCCTTGCTCCATCCCCAACACAGTAGTGTGAGTAACCAGAAGAAAATATTGACAAACTTGCTTTCTAGGAATATGCAATGAGCCTAGCTCTAGGTGTCCAAGAGTTTAAAGGGACAATTTTTACTCCCATTCCACTTCCTGGGCTAACTGAATTGAGACATGGAGATTTTATGCTGAACCTTTGGAAACAAAGGCATGACATCAAACTGAATAGAGACACTTTCTGATTAAATTTTGTACTCATACAGGTAGAACACTGTTCCTAAGTGATCCTCATGTAAATAATTTCTGCTCCTGTGTGAGGGGCTCCAGAAAAGCATCAGTATAAACTTGATAGAGAACTGAACCACAGAGGTTAAGAGATTTGATGAAAGATGCAAAGAGTACAGATACTCAAATAGCCCAAAACCTGGAGCCCAATGTGTCAGCTACAATATGATGCTTCTTTTAACTAGCACAAGAAGCATTATAGGACAGTCTCTCATTACTCTGTAAATGCTACATGACAGCATACATGCATATCTCTGAGCAGAATCAAGGAGAAATAGATACATGAGGAGGGGTAGGCAGCAGCTGAGGTTCTGAACAGAATCTGATGGGAATCCAACAGCCTGAGAAGCAGCAAGGACAAGAGCTGGGATCAACCCTCAATTATCTAAGACACTGAAATTTTATTTCAAAATATGTGACTTGCTGTACTCTTCTTATTGTCAAGAGAAAAAATATATTAAGAGATTCTTGCCAACAGAATATTTACCTGAATTCATCCTCTAATGTTAACACTAATCTATAAAGATAGCAAGGCACATAAAAAGCACCAAGTTATAGTATATTCAAAAGAATAGGATATTTATGCTCGATATTTAAAAATCAAGAAAAAATGCAAAAAGAACAGTCACATCTAGAATGGAGAGTTGAGGAATTTAACCATTGCTAATCTGAAAGGATAGATTTGGGGAAAGGCAATAAATACAAAATAAGGATGTTTCTAACATCCAGTGTTAGAAACCAGTATGGAAAAAAATGAAACGTTTCTACATTTTGTCTTCATAAAGATTACATTTATTTAATCCATTTTTTTGTCTTCGAAAAGTAAAAGACCATTTAAGTTCATGTATTAACATCTGCTCCTCATGAATTTGTACTTCACACACCAACCTCGTAGTTTTCTACCTCTACATCTTCCACGTCCAACTCAAAACTGAAAGCTGGTCCAACTGCAGGTGGCACTGGAAGCACTGATCTGCCAGAAAAACAAACAACAGTAAAACTCAACATCTTTATGAAGGAAAGCACGCAAACATGTTAGAGGTAGAGTTATGTTATTGATCCTTCTTAAATAAAAAAATTCTAAGAATCAGTAAAAGTTTAAATTTGAAATTGAGAATTAAAAGAATTAAGAATAAAAATTGCATCACTTTTTGGTACTCGATGTATTGCATTTTTAAATTGCATGTATATTACTATGAAAACTTACAGTAAGGCTCAGTGTTATTACAGAAATTAATTTCATGATAGCCTGCATCACAGAGTTAATATTAATATTGAACAAAGTTTCTGGATTTAAATTTATTTAAATAGATAGACTATCAATAAAGATTAATAACTCGAGTTCACTTAGTTCCCCAATACAAAAACATTCAAGCACTCAGAAGAGAACAGAATAGAGTATTTCAGTTGGAAGGAACCCACAGAAATCATCTGGTCCAACTGCCTGACCACTTCAGGACTGACCCAGCGTTAAAGCATATTATTCGGGGCACTGTCCAAATGCCTCTTAAGCACTGACAGGCTTGGGGCATTGACCATCTCTCTAGGAAGCCTGTTCCAGTGTATGACCATCTTATCAGTAAAGAAATGCTTCCTAATGTCAAATCTGAACTTCACCTGACACAGTTTTGAACCATTCCCACGTGTCCTGTCCCTGGATACCAGGAAGAAGTGATTAACACCTCCCTCCACACTTCGCCTCCTCAGGAAGCTGAAGAGAGCAGCAATGAGGCTGCCCCTCAGTCTCCTTTTCAATAATGCACATAACAAAGAATTACAATACAGTACTGTGCCAACTTCCACACTGACAGCAGACCAAACTATGCATTCCTATATAACATGGATTTGACCAGAGAAGAACCTCTGCAGATATAAAAGAGAAGAACATGCATTTTTTTTCTAGTTTTTCTTTTAAGTTAAAAAAACATCGCCATCCCAAAATAATAACATGGATCAAAGTTTAATGCACAATCATGGAAATTAAAAATCAACAGCACTATAAATTAATCAGGAATTATTGTGACACACAAGCAATCTTCCCTGAGTAAACAGGCAAGCAGCTATAACATCAGAAGAGACTTTGTCAGAATGAACAATGCAAAGTTTAAGAACTTCACTGAATCATATATCCTGGTGCTATTTTGATGCAAGTCAAACTATGGAGTCAACATCTATAGATGTGGCAAAACAATAAAGGATAAAGTCGGATTATCTCCCTGTCAATGACACCTTCATAAAAAAATATCCTCATTTTCTAAGCATTTTGAATAAATTTCAAAAACAGAACCTACAAAGAACAATAAATTCCATGTCTCACATCTAATCTACAGCAGATGGGATCTACTTTAAAAGGTTACTGATAATCCCTTAATGCTACTTCTACCATCCCTTCTCTTCCACAAATGGTTAATCAAGTGCAGAAGTTAAAAAGCTGTAACAGATTATCAGTTCAGAAGAAAGAAACCCCCTCAAACAAAAAACCAAAACACACACACACCTAGGAAGACTCCCCTCATTATGTGTCAGTAATTAATTGAATGAATTGATTTTGCTAAGGGGGGGGGTGAGGGTTTTTTTGGGTTTTTTTTTTTCTGTAAGGAGTGTTAGATCTTTATCCTACATAAGTAGACTTTAGAATGTAATGATGGGTATAACTCAACTGTTATCAAAGAATCACGTGTAATCATTCTACACTGAACATCTTTAAGGAGATTTCAACAGAAAAAAGAGGCATAGGAGATGCCAAAACTACATTATCATAAAACTGTTCACTTGTATTAGTTTAAATAGACTGGAAACTTTAAATTTAGCTACAAGTTCTCTTATTCCTTGGGATTGCTTGAACTGTTTGTAACCTGTGGTAGAGCCCAAACATAAAAGAATATTGAGGGGATCAACTAGCTTACAGAGTTATTAGGTAGTCTATGAGTACAATGTGCTTTGGACTTACAACACATATGGTATTAGGCTGGGATGGTACGCATGTGGTGGTATTGGTTGCTGTGATAGGTATCTACTGTGCCCTGTGAGTCTTCGAGGCATAAAAGGTGGATAAGGCTGAAAAAAGGAAGAAAAAATTCTTGTCTTATTTAATAATGAAATTAAATGAAAAGTGAGTGTTGAAATAATTTTTAAATAAAGCATTATCCAAAGAAATCCAACCCTGTCCAAGCCAAAAAATACCAGTCTTTTCAAGATTCAAGATTCTCAAAAGCTGTTGTAACAGGCCGGAACGAGGAAAAGGGGGTGAAAAGCTGGGGAAAATCATCTCCCCTTGTTCCCCCCACAGACTGGGTACGATTATTAATGAATTCCCAGAGGTAGCACCCAAGGTAAGAGTAGGAGAGCAACACTGAATACACATCCCAAATGATCATTATTGTCCTTAATGGTATCATGTCATAAACTGATATCACACTGTACAGCAACAAAGCAATTGTGATTCCTCTCCCTGCTCTGAAAAAGAGCACCATGAGCAGCACATACAGGAATACATACCAGGTTAGGTGCCACACCCACATGAACAGATCAAGCAATATCATGACCAGTGGCTCTGGACCTAATACAGCAAATGCTTAGATCAAATTTCTTTCCAACCCACTCTGGGCAGATCTGTTGTTATCTCAACCCTTTGTGTCCCACATTGGGCGTCAATTAAGGTTGTCATGGTTTAGGAATGGTATTCCCCAATTTAGTACTGCCACTAAAAAGACCACGAACCACTCCCCTTCCCCCTTGAATGGGAGGCACAAAAGGCAAAGATCACGGGTTGAGATAAGAATAATTTACTGGAAACAGCAATGAAACAAGAAAACAAAAAGTAACAGCAACAATATTAATAACAAAACTATACAAAATATAAGGTGTTTCACATGGAGCAATTCTCATCATGGACCCCGGACAACAATGAGCAATGGCAGATGGCTTACCTACCTCACCACCGGAAAACTATATCCTTCATCTCAGCAGCCAGAAAGTTCCTTATCCCAGCCCCCGGCACTTGACCTGAGGTGGTATAGAATAACTTCCTAGCCAAGCTCTTAGGGCTCCAGGCTCCCCCTCCTCACAACTTCTGCAGAAATTAACTCTGTCCTGGACAGAATCTGGACAGCTAGCTAATAAGTGTTTTGTAAGGCTTTGTATATGGGCTGGTTTGGACAGGTAGGACTTGAATAGATGAACATGATGCAAAACAAAAGCCAAGGTCTTTCAGCGTGGTGCAACGCACTGTCTTTTGCAGGTGGTTGGGTAGGAATGAGAGTTTTTAACAACATATACACAGGAGTTCTTTCACTGGTATAAACCATGTAAGTAATTTTTCCAAGTTTGAGCCCTTAAACTCTATGATGTAAGTCTAACCCTAAAAACCAACCACCCTGACTTTCCACAGCTGCAGCCACTAATGAAATTCAATTGCAAAAATGTAATTTTAAATAAAATGGTTATAACTTAAAACAAAGATCAAGACCTTGAACTCAGCATGCATGAGGATGTAGTACAAAAACAATACTTACTATCCCAAATGAAACCTCTTGATTTAAAGGATCATAGGTTAAGAGTTGGATAGAAGCTGAGGAAGTCAATGTTGGTGGATGAGTTGACGGAGAGTAGGTAAAGCTTCCTATAGGAAGATGTTCTCCAAGCAGTTCTACTTCATTCTCTATCCTTTGAAGTGGCTAAAAGAAACATAGGGTTTGTTGTATTAATAGAAAACCAGTTTTTAAAATTTATTTTTCAATACCAGAAAACCATAACTCCAACTACATGTTCTGAGTAGTTGTGAAAATTTTATGTAGTTGTACTGGGTATATGTGGCAAGGCTGTGGTAGTGGAGGTGGGGGACTGTAGGAGTAGCCTCTGTGCGAGAGGTAAGGGGCTTCCTTGTGCCAACCCACTGCAGGCCAAAGCTGAGCCAATCCGCAGTGTTTGTAGTGCCTCTGTGAAAAACTATTTAAGAAAGAGAGGGGGAAGGGGAAAGCTGTACGGGGAGTCGGAGGGAACAAAAAAACTGTGAATAGGAGAAGGATGAAGTGCTCCATGGCACAAGAGCAGATATTCCCTGCAGCCCACGGAGGACCCACTCTGGAACAGATTGATATTTCCCAAAGCAACTGTGGTCCATCGAGAACTCATGCCAAAGAAGATTTTCCTGATAGGACTGCAGCCCATGGAAGAACCTACACTAGAGCAAATTTTCATGATAGATTGCAGCCCATGAAAAACCCATATCGGAGCAGAGGAAAGGTGTGAAAAGGAAGGTGCAGCAGAGAATGACTGTTATATACTGACCATAATCCCCCACACCTCTTCCCTCTTATGCCACTAGGGCAAGGAATCTGGAGAAGAAATACTAGCAGTGGATGAGGATTGAGTCAGATTTATTACTTGAGAGAACTTGATCCATACAAGTCCATGGGACCAGATGGACTACATCCAAGAGTTGATGTCCTTGCATGGTTGCTATAATCTTTAAAAGGTTGTGGAGATAGGGGAGATCTGTAACAACTGGAGAAAGGCAAACATTGCATTCATCAACAAAAAAGGCGAAAAGGACAATCTGGGAAACTACAGACCAGTCAATCTTACTTTAATCCCTGGGAAAATCATGAAGTCAGTCCTCTTGGAACATATTTCTGGGCATATGGAAGAGTCAGCATGGCTATACCAAGGGAAAATTGACCAGATTGTCTAGTATGATCAGGTGATGATTTGTGGATGAGGGGAGAGCAGTGGATGTCATTCACCTCAACTTTAGCAAGGCTTTTGACACTCTCACAATACTCTTGTATCTAAGTTTGTATGTTACAGTCTGGATGGGTGGACAACCAGATGGATAAAAAATGTTTGGATGATCAGGCTTAGATCATGGTGGTTAATGGGTAATAGTTTACTAAGATGCTGGTAACAAGTGGTATACCACAGGGACCTATCCTCTTTAACAGCGTTATCACTCACCTGGAAGATACTGAGTACTTGCTCATGAAGTCTACAGCTGATATCAAATTGCAGGGAACAATCCATACACTGGAAGGTAAGGCTGCCATACAGCAGGACATGAACAGCCTGGAGAAATGGGCCAATAGGAACCTTATGATATTCAACAAGGACATATGCCAAGTCCTACACCTGAGAAAGAAGAACCCTTGGCAACAATCTGGGTTGGGGAGTAACTGGCTATGAAGCAGCTCTGCTGAAAAGGCCCTGAGGCCCTTGGTAACAAACAGTAGCACAGTAGCATAGTCAGTAGATTGAGTAAATCTACACCTTCTACTCAATACTTGTTAGACCTCATGTATAATACTACATCCAGTTTTGGACACCCAAATAGAAAAAAAAAAAAAAAAAAGACGTTAAAGTAGAACAAGCTCAAAGTAGAACAAGATCAAATGAGAGCCACCAAGGTGGTAAGGGGACTGGAACATTTGTCTTATTAGAAGAATTGAAAGAACTGGGCTTTTTCTGCCAGGAGAAGAAAAGGCTTGAGGGAGCAGGAAAGAAAATCTAACAGTGGCCTTCTAATACCTACAGAGATTTGATCAATAAGATGAAGTAAGGCTCTTTACAGTGGTGCATGGTGGAAGGACAAGACACAATGGGCATAAGTAAAAACAAAAAAGGTTGCAGCTAAATACAAATAGAAGCTTTTTCACCATGAGGACAGTCAAACAGTGGAACAGGAGCCTAGAGAATTTGTGTAGTCTCCATCCTTGGAGGTTTTCAAGATCCGACTAGAAAAAGCCCTGAGCACCCTCACCTAACCTCATAGCTGATCCTGTTTTAAACAGACATTTAAATTAGAGACTTCCTGAGGTGTCTTTACATCTGAATTATACTGTGACCCTATGATCCCTTTGCATATATAAGGTAGCAACTGACTTCCTTAACGGAAACATGTTCTCAAACTGAAGAAAATAGTTCTACTTCAATACCATAAGAAGAAAGAACTCAGTATTTCTCTGTGAGACAAAAATCTTCATTGTAAATACCTTGATTTATACTTACAAATAATCTATTGCCCTATTTAGGCTAGACACATTATCTTGAAGCTATATGTATGCTATTAGGAAAAGATCAATTCGGAAAGATCAATTCAAATCTCAGCTCATTTTGGTCTCATTTTTCAGGAAAACCTTAACTCTATTTCACTAAATCACCTTTCTTTTCCCAGTACTGAATTCCACATTCTTCAAAACAGTCAGATATGAAAGTCATCTTGTGGAAGCAAAGGAAAACTGTTTCCCCATTCTACTGAATAAACTTTATATAGTCAGAATATTTAAGGAAATAATTCTTCTAGCAAGACTTGACAGCAAAAAAACAAGCTATCAAAAAGAGCTAAAAGTTAACAAAGGAGACTATTCTTGAAGCTAAATTAGCAATTTAGGTTAAGAAAGAAGGCCTGACATTTTCTGAGAGAAAACATCCTTATTACCAGAGAAAACTATGTAGAACTGTTCCCCCATGACTAAACTGAAATTATTACAGTAGTGCCAACATCTGACATTTACCACAGCAGTATTTGTTACTGCTCAAAACAATCTGAGCAGTATTTGTCAGTAATACTGAAATGATTTTGTATTTTTCTATTAATGAAATATTGGTAGAGCTCCAAAGAAACAAATGTGCCTGGAAGAAGATTATTAAGTAGATACTACTAACCTCTGGCAGAAGATTAACAGGTAGAAATTGCAAAATCTAATTTTTTTCCTTTGTGTCAAAATAGCATCTTCTCTCATATTTGCATAAGCCCTATTATGAAGGCATTACCTTTTCACACAAGTTTATTTGAGTAATACTTTTCACACTAGTGTTTGGGGGATTACTCACTTTAAATACAGTTCATCATGGCTAGGCTTTGCGAACGAAGATTTGAGAAGGGCTCTACCCACGCTTGCTACAAGCATGCTGATGGCTAAACTTTAAATAAACTATGAATTAATATGGTAGAAGCATGCAATACAAATAATGCTTTGTGCTTTCTGGTCTCTCTACAAAGTTTTTTCTCTGAGACCACTGCTGCACTACACTTAGGTCTCTATATTCTTTAAATTTCTGGAAGAACATCACCTTCAGAAGCAATATATGAAGCAAACTTATGTCAGACTGACAGGAGTAGAGTTGTCCAAGGAAAAAGAGTCGGCAACAGCTGAGGAAATCTTAAGAGAATCAAAAATTAATTTCAAAACAATACTTTTTTTTCTTCAAAGTCTTGCTCAGGTAGCACTACTACAAAACCCTATTACTTACTCTAAATTCTCTCAATCAGAATGTTATTGGAAGGACAAGAGCATTATTTGCTGATCAACCCCCAAATATTTTAGTAGCAGGGATAATAAGCATTACTTACTGAATGTGACTGCTGTGCTTGGAAAGGAACAAACTGTCCTGGAGGTGGCAGGTGAGAAGGATGCTGTGGAGAGAGGTGAGGAGGATGCAAAAGGAATGGGTCATTGGAAATCAGAGGTGGGAATGCTGCATATGGTACTGGTAGATGTTGGACTGAGCACGCCTGAAGCATCTGAAAGAAAATGAACATTTTTACATCTAGAGTGAAAGGAGATTATTAAAAGAAAGCAGTCTACTTAGCTTACAAACACAACCCACACAATAATTCATTCAGAAACTCAATGAAATGTTCTAGTACAGAGCAGAGTCTAAAAGTATAATGCTACCAGCTACATTTGCAAGGTGCAAAGGGCCTTTTATTTCAGATGAAGTCAATAGGAGTTGGGTGTCAGAGGATGCAGCAAGGCCATGCAGTGCCTGGCAGCATGGAAAAGAATGTAAATAAGAGGTGAACGTCCAATCATATGTGAAGGTTAGTGGCAAATATAGATAATAGAGTTAAGAATAGTGTTAGTATGTAAGATTCTAGGGGACAGTGTGTGAGTGCAGTTGTGTGAAGACAATGTAATATTCTGGATGAAGAGAATAAAAGCTGAATTTAGGCCATCATCATCTGGTGCCCAGTTTTATTATTATGGTCGTCCTCACAAACAACGACAGTTGGGGGTGTTCACATTCCATTATCAGGCACAGACTCCCAAGGGGAGGAGCAGGTTTGCTTACCATAGTAGTTGCTGTTCTTCCCAGACATTACATTTACAGGAACATGCCAAGAAAACAATTGTTAGTTGTAACTGAAGGACTTATAAATTTCAGATTGCGCCCTAGACAACTCTGTTGCTTGAAGTTGTGCCCCTTTTCTTCTTTCCCCTCTTGCTAGTATCTGCTGTCCCTTTCTCTTCTGTCCTGAGACTTAAAGTGATTTACTGAAAGAAAATGGTGTCCATCTGACACAACTGCAAGGCAGTAATCCAAACAGAAGCACTACAGCCTATCTATGTGGACATCTCCACCCAAATAGAATTCCCAGGGATCGATATAGCTGTCCAGACCTCAGGCTGCATGGAGCTCCAGTATCTGGAAGTCCCCTAGTTCCCCTACCTGCTGAAGGCAGCGGTGGATGTCGTAACTACATAAGTGTGCCCAGCTAGAAAAACTCTTCAGACAAGTAGCTATGTAACAAAAGGAGCTCAACAGACAGCACAGTATCTGGGAATGTAAGCAGGAGATAAATGTGTGGTATTGTGCACTATCCCAGTCTGAGCAACAGCCTTAAGGTTGTGCAAGGGGAAGGTAAGAGGAGTGACTACAACAGTGGACATGGGTAGAGCTCTTTCTCCTGAGTCTTCAGCTCCAGCTGTGTCTCTCAGTGTCCATTCACCTGGCTGGCACCACCAGTCTTCATGTCCTTTGTTAACCAAAGGGTTGGCAGTTCATGGCCTCTGCCTCTTGTCTCAGGCTCCCACCCAGAGCTTAATCTGCATCTCAGTCTGCAGTTTGCACACTGAGCTACATGCACCAGATGTATTCCTCAACACTTAGGTATAAGGAAGAAATTTTTTTCGATGAGGATGGTGAGACTGTAACAGACATGATGCTCTGAGGTTGGAAATTGAAGAGCACATGAGTAATGGACAGAGTCCAGGAGAAGCTGATTACATGAAGTTGATCAAACTACCCTACCGCATTAGAACCAGTGCCACCAGAAAAGCATGTAAGTATAAGTGATTGGAGACTCCTTACTGAGAGGCAACAAAGCACCCATTTACTATCCAGACAACTTTTCTAGAGAACTCTGATGCCTACCAGGAGCTTGCATTCATGACATTCCTGAGAGGCTACTGAGCCTGGTAAACACTAGTTTATCATCTGCTCAAGGTGAATGCCTGGCTGTGTGGCTGATGCCATACTCAAAGTTTTAACCTTTACCTTTGAGAAGCTGGGTCTGCTGGGAGCTGATGGTATTCATGTGGCCAAGTGGGGCAAGGGGGTCTTCACCAACAAGCTGACTAGACTTATAAGGAGACCTTTAAACTAGATTTGTCAGGGGAAGGAGTTTTGAGTAACAGAAGAGCCAAGGGCTGCTGATGCATTAGGAATCAACAGAGAAACAGCTGTGAAATCATAGAATCATAGAATGGTTTGGGTTAGAAGGGGCCTTTAAAGATCATCTAGTTCCAGCCTCCCTGCCATGGCAGGGACACCTTCCACTAGACCAGGCTGCTCAAAGCCCTTGGGAGTTTATGGTAAAAAACTAGGGGTTAAACCAACAAAGAAAACCTCATGGTTGGTGTTTGCTACAGGCTGCCCGATCAAGGGGAGCCTGTTGAAGAAAGATTCTTACTTCAACTATAGGAAGGAAGCATCATGCTCACAGGCTCTGATCCTGCTGGGAGACTTCAATCACCCTGATACCTCCTGGAAAAGCAGGACAGTAAGCTATTGGAGGGCACTGAGGAGAATTCCTTAATCCAGATAATAGACAGCCCAACCAGTGGAAGTGTGTTACTAGACCTGTTGTTCACTGACACAGACAAACTAACTGCAGAGGTCAAGATCAGAGGCATCCTGGGCTGCAGTGATGATGTGGAAGATTGTGGAATTCACAATCTTGAGGGATATGGGCCAGACAAAGTGTAAAGTCAAGACTTTCAGATGTTTAAGAAATTAGTGGATGGAACCTCCAGGAAACTGCCCTCAGAGGTAAAGGATCTGAATGGAGCTAGTAGCTCTTTAAAGACATTTTTCTTAGAGCACAAGAGCTCTCAATTCCCATGTGTAAGAAATCAGGCAAGGAAGGCAGGAAATCAGCATGGCTGAGTAAGGACCTCCTGTTCAAACTAAACTGTAATAAGGAAATGCATAGACCATTGAACAAAGGACAGGTATCCTGGAAAGAATATAGGGATGCTGCAGGGATGGGATCAGAAAAGGTAAGGCACAGCTGGAGTTGAATTTGGCAAGAATACAGAGAAAGGTTTTACAAGTATGTGGCCAGAAAACGAAGAAAATGTACCCATTTAAAAAAAAAAGTAATAAGGAGAATCCTGGGAACTACTTGATCAGTCAACCTCACTTGCTGTAAGATCACGGAAAAGATCCTCCTGTAGAAGACAGGGAAGTCATTTGAGACAGTCAACATGGTTTCACCAAGGGCATCTCGTGCCTAACTAATCTAGTGGCCTTCTACGATGGAATGACTGCATCAGTGGATAAGGGAAGAGCTACAGATGTCATCTACCTAAACTTCTGTAAGGTGTCCTTGTTCTGGCCAGGACAGGGTTAATTTTTTCAGTAGCCAGGAGGGGGCATTGCTAGGACTTGGAGGTTATTCTATACCACCTCATGTCATTGCCATGGGAGGAGGAAAGGGACTCTCTTCTGGGGAGAAGGGGTTCCGTTCTGGTCAAGTAAACATGGCAAGGGGAGCTGTCCAGTATTGTCAATTGTCAGAGGGTTTCCATGTGAATCATTTCTTTTTTGTACCCTCTGGCATTAGTATTGTTGCTGTTCCTTTTCTTATCTCATTGTTTTTTGCAGTAAATTGTTCTTATCTCAAGCCGTGACCTTTTCCTTTTCTGCCTCCAATTGTCCTCTCCATCTTGGGGGGGGGGGAAGAAAGTGGGGGAGCGAGAGAGAGAGCAGCATGTGGTTTGGAGAATGTTATTCTTAAACCATGACATAAGGCTTTTGAAATAGTCCCCTACAACATTCTGGACTGTAAATTTGGTTTAACAAATGGACTGTTAGATGGATAAGGAATTGGCTAGATGGCTGCATCCAAAGACTTTTAGTTAATGGCTCAGTGTCCAAGTACAAATCAGTAATGAGTGGTGTCCCTCAAGGGTCCATATTTAATATCTTCATCACTAAGATAGTGGGATTGAGTGTACCCTCAGCAAGTTTCCAGATGACACTAAGCTGGATGGTACAGTTGATTCTCTGGGGCCAGCTCTGGGGCCTCCAGAACAATAAAGACATGGACCTGTTGGAACAGGTCCAGAGAGGGACACAAAAATTATCAGAGGGATGGAACACCTCTCCTGTGAAGAAAGGCTGGAAGAGTTGGGGTTGTCCAGCCTGGAGAAGAGAAGGCTACAGGGAGATCTTATTGCAGCCTTTCAATATATAAATGGGTCTTATAAGAAATACAGAGAAAGACTTTTTACCAGGGCCTGTAGTGACATAATCAGGGGCAATGGTTTTAAATTGAAAGAGGGTAGATTTAGATTGGACATACGGGAGAAATTATTTATGATGAGGCTTGTGAGACGGTGGAACAGGTTGGCCAAAGAAGTTGTGGATACCCCATCATTAGAAGTATTCAAAGTCAGGTTGGACAGGGCTCTGAGCAACCTGATCTAGGGAAAGATGTCCCTGCTTATGGCAAGGGAGTTGAAGCTCTGAAGACCCTTTCCAACTCAAACCATTCTATGAGTGTGATTGTAAGTTATAACTAGACTTAAAAATTCTGTTCATTTCCATGCTTTGAGGGGAGCCACAAGCTCTAGAGCAAAACCTCTGAACTATGAAGGTATCACCTAGAGACAGTTTACAGTAAAAGCAGACTTCTACTCTGTGACATTGTGTCCAAAATATACTGTGAGTCAGTAAAGTTGGAACTCTAAGGAATTAAGGTGGTGGTAGGGAGAATAGAAACTCACTTCATGGAAGTGCTCAGTTTTACTTCCAGCTCTATTCATCCAGGAACAAGATTCCAAATTTGCATTTGTTCAATTGCTTTTTTAATCAGTCACCAGAATATCTGGCATTCATTTTGCTTCTGACCATTAAAAGTGCAACTCAATATGAGCTTTTAAAAAATAAGTATCAATTCTCTTATGTAAACAAGGGTATTTATTAGAGATAGTTTTCAAGCAATAAACTTCAATGCTCTGTTTCATAAAACCATAGAATGGTTAGGGTTGGAAGGGACCCTAAAGATCACCTAGTTATAAACCCCCTGACATGGGCAGGGACACCTTCCACTAGACCAGGTTGCTCAGGGCTCCATCCAACCTGGCCTTGAACACTTCCAGGGATGGGGCAGCCACACCTTCTCTGGGCAATCTGTTCCAGTGCCTCACCACCCTCACAATAAAGAATTTCTTTCTAATATCTAATCTAAATCTACCCTCTTTTGGTTTAAAGCCAATGCTCCTTGTCCTGTCA